CGCGCCGCTTCTCGGCAGGCCGCGCGCTCGAGGCGCTCGTTCCGAGGGACGTCTATCGTCTCGGTGGAGGCAAGGGCAAACAGAGGTACCAAAGTGGGCGTGATCGGTACGCAGAGGGTTCGCACGTTGCGTGCTGCGTGACGTCATTGGGGGGGGGGGGGGGTTGCGTGGGAGTGGGTACCTGACCTGCCGTGACTCATCAGAAAACTGCGTGGTAACCGATCGATTGGTTTCCGCGAAAATATGCAGATCTGGAATGAAATGTAACGGGAACCTGTTCGTCGCAGTTTGGGAAATGTAACAGTTTGAAACGGGACAGTAACGTGCGGGGCGCCCTCTAGTGTTTTCTCGCCGGACTCTAAAAACGGGAATGAGAGATCCGGGAAGAGGGGTTCACCCTTCACCCTTCTTCACCGGGGAGAACTTCAGTTTTTCAATCTTCATGAAATTTTGGTCACTTCGACGTAAAATGACTACGATGTTCCTTATTCCTCAGAGCGTGCTAATCGTGTCCGTGACATCTTAAGCAGAATTTCAAGTTTCCACTTTTGACGGCTCGCGATGCGTGTCGGAACGAACGGGCACGAACACGGCCCGTAGAGTCACGAGGGAGGACCGATCCGAACGTTTCTCCGAGGGAGGACCGATCCGAGGCGCCTTCCGAATGTTTCTCTCGTCGGACGGCGATGCGACTGGAAACAAACGGTACTTGGAAACGCCGGACCCTGCGCGAAAAGAATCCGGACAAGCAACGCCTCTTCCCTTCCTTAATCGAGATATGTCTCACCGAGAGAGACGAGATGGGTGAAGGGGTAGGGCATCGAGCGTCATGGTGCATTAACACCATCACACTAATATGGTTTCGGTTCTTTCTTATGAATCCTATGATCTGCGTGGTCAGAGGAAGCAGACATAGCATGGGGCAATTGGCATAGGAGGAGGCAATCGATAAATGCGGGCAATTGGCATTGAAAAAGGAAGTTGGAAAATACGGGGCATTTCGCACACCAAGAGAGCGCGTTTTTCTCAATCAGATTGACGGTATGAAGCATAGTCCATACCCTTATCCAAAACGAAAACGAGTTTGAAATCCTAAGATTTTGCCAACCTTGAACTTGGAAGTCCTCATGCCTTGCGTCATCCTTCACCGGGAGCCACGAAAAGGACGAGGAGAGCTTCTTCTTCCTCGTCTGACTCTCGACGACCGGAAGCGAGGAGGTCCTCCTCGTCCGACTCTCAGCGGAGACCGAGAGAGGCGGATGGGGATCGTTCGGGGCTGCGCCGCCTGCGAGAGGATCGGCCGGTTTCGTGCCGATTCGGTCTCGTTTGCAAAGGCTGAAAAATAATGTCGACGTGGAATTTCAGTCGGTGGTCGAGACGACGAGGTTCGGGAATTTTAGCCATTAAATCGATTAAATTTCACGTTCGGTCGCATCGAGCTCGACCAGGCGACTTCCAACTCTGCCAACGATTGTTTCCCGCATCAACTTCTCATATCAAAGTATTAATTTGGCTTATTTGTTTTTTTTTTCTCATGGAAACGGAGCAGGTGGGCTTGGTCGTGACGCGATGGATCCAGGATGGATGGAGAATCCTCCAGCCGTCGCTCCAGAGAGGACTTGCCGCGTTGGAGCTACGAGTCTTCGACTTCCGCCCGCCATCGCGAACGCAGTCGGCGGAGACCTGGTCGGATTCCACCCAGACGGAATGCGGGGGCGTCCGGTCCATTTCGTGCCAGACGGAGTCTCCTCCGCCTGCTCCACCTCCGCCTCCACCGCCTCCACCGGTCCTGAGAGTTCCGCCCCCGCCACCTCCGCCTTCACCCGTACTGAAAGCTCCACCTCCCCCACCCCCGCCTTCACTCACTCCGAATGTCCCACCTCCCTCCACCCCCATCCCACCTCCCCCACCCCCACCTCCACCTCCACCTCCACCGCCTCCACCCACTCAGAACGCCCCACTTGCACTCCAACCCATCCTCACCCACTCTCAGGCCACCAAGGATGCAAACCCCCCCAATGGAATTCCCTCCAAGGTGGCCATCACCCCGGACGACCTGAAGCGGGTCCGACTCAGGCCGACCGAGAAGGTACTCCATATCAATTTTTTACTCCTAATTTTATTTGATTCAAGCTAAATTCGATTCGGCGTCGTTCCAGCCGGGACGGGACTCGGAAGGGAGCCGGGACCCGAAGGGGATCCAGCCGGACCCGAAGGGGATCCAGCCGGTCACGGTGGAACTACTGAAAAGCGTCCGGCTGAGGAAAATCTCTCCGAGTCAACCTTTCCTTCAACCCTAATGTTTAATTCACTAAATTTATTCATAGCGATGTTTTCATATTAATAGAACTGTTGCACACTAAAGCAGACACGCCTTCTTCCTTTCTTCGTGGCGGCTTTTCGCCCCCGTTCGGCTTCAGGATCCGACAAATCTTCCAGCCTCGCATGGCTAAGGATCGAATTCCGCCAGAGACACAGACAAATAATTCCCCCCGGAATTCTCTTGCGCTATCGCGAAGGCTTCGGCGAGATCCTTCCCGTTGAAACCTTTTTGGATTTTCGTTACTGTTGCTATCAGCCATCAGAAAGTTTTTCGATCTTAAGTTTTAGTTCTTTCCTATGAATCTTATGATCTGCGCAGTCAGAGGATGTAGATATAACAAGGGGCAATTGGCATACCAAGAGAGCGCGTTTTTCTCCATCAGATAGACAGTAAGAAGCATAGTCCATACCCTTATCCGAGACAAACAAGTTTGAAATCTTAAGATTTTGCCCACTTCGAACTGTCAAGTCCTCATGCCATGCGTCATCCTTCACTGGGAGCCACGAAAAGGACGGGGAGAGCTTCCTATTCTTCGTCGGCATCGCCTTCCTCGTCTGACTCTCAGCGACCGGAAGCGAGGAGGTCCTCCACGTCTGACTTTCAGCGACCGGAAGAGATGAGGTCTTCCTCTTTTCCTGGGCCGAAACAATACTCCAGTTTGAAGGGGGGGATCCAGCGACAGGTTCATCGCCGGGAATAGCTCACGCGGAGTCCCGATGAATAAAGGAAGTGACATAAACCGAACGGTAACCTGTCATTCGGAATTATCTTCGTCTGTCAATGGAGGCATTTCTGAGTTTCGGAAGGGCCTCAGAATGCCCTCAGCCAATATCGATGCATCGGGCGTGAGGCTCAGCGCCTAAATATTGCCGAAACTCCCTTTCAACTCTGATGGGACTCTCAAATACCCGGTTTTGCCACTTCCCTTTGCTGCTCGAGCGTCAGGCGTGAAGCCTTTTCTCGTGACTGCGAAAGCGAATTCAACGAAATTCAACTAAATTTTTTTTTTTCCGGTCCATCTGAAACTAGGAGAGAAAAACATGAAGCTCAGGAATTTTGTAGAAGAGGAATTAAAAAATTATGAATCATCTTTCTAATATGCTTTTCAAGCAATTTCTGTTTGAGTCTGATCCCAAGTTATTTCTGTGATGAAAAAAATCGAAAGCACGTTCTTTCCACCGGCGCCAACAACAGTGACCTGTTTCCAGCAGTTTGAAAAACGTAACAGTTTGAAACGGGACAGTAACTTCCGGGACACCCAGCAGCGTTTTCTCACCTGACGCCAAAAACGGCCAAAAGGGACTCGAGGATCACCCTCGCGATTTCCGGGAGTCATCTCTTCCGAATCGGCCTTCTTGAAGAGGATCGTCGTCGGATGTTTTTCGTTTGGCCTCTATTGTAACTCTGATTTATGGCTGTCATCCCTATTTTGCAGCTTTTGGCATCGGTCACGACCTCGCTCATTTCCATCGCGCAGTCATCGAAGCGCCAGCTCGCTTCATCGCGGGCGAGAATCGACGAGTCATGTCAACAAGGATCTCAAATTGCTGCTTCTGCTCATGAGAGCTCGCAGGCCAAAAAGGGCAGGGACCCATCCCGAAGAGTCTTCTTAAAGGAAGGAAGGAATTTCGTAGAAGAGAATTCAACAAGGTGTACTGATGATCACACGATGACGAACACTTTCTTAATATGCTTTTCAAGCGAATTCCGCTCGAGTCTCATTCCAAGTCGACAAGAAAAAAATTCTAAGAGCGTCCTTTCCATCGATGCCATCAACAATGACCCAGTTGCTCCAGTCTAGAATATATTGCAGTTCGAAGTGGCACAGCGACCAACGGGAACCCCCAACCCCAACCCCAACCCCAACCCCAACCCCAACCCCAACCCCAACCCCAACCCCAACCCCAAGATTCGCCCTCCATCCTTCCTGCGGATCCTCCATCCCGACTGGGGGGGAAGGCGACTGGGTTTCCTTGCGTCCTCGTCGAGTGTGGTCGGCGAGGAGTCGGCCGTTTCTGAGACGGTCGTCGGATGTGTTTTTTTTTTTCCGCTTAGCCTCTATTGTAATATTATTGAGGGTAGTCATCGCTGTTTTGTCGTCCTTGACATCGGTCACGATCTCGCTCATTTCCATCGCGCAGTCATCGAAGCGCTTCGTCGCGAACGAGAATCCACGGGTCATCTCGACGAGGATCGCAAAAATCGCTCCTTCCGCTTCTGAAAGGCTCGCGGTTTCAAAACGGACGGGGATCCGTCTTCGAGAGTCGTGAGGATTCTTGGACATTTTTCGAGTGGTTCTCGGATCGAACGTCGATTCTGGGAGCGAAGGCGTCGTCAAAACGATTCTCTCTTCGTCGCAAACAGTAATCGACGAGTCACATTTTCACAGTTGTGTCAAATTATAAGAACTCGAGTAGAAAAATTTAAAAAAAAGAAAAGCGTAAAAAAAATCCACTAAGGAATGGAGTGAATGAACTCGCGGGAAACTTAATGCTGAGGAACGAGACGACCAGAAGGACTCTTGGAATGCGTGGCGCTTCGGGTTGTCGCACCAATTTCTCATTATCGAGCCATTTCCTCCAAATGATGCAAAAAACTCTTGAGAGGAACGATTGCCGAGGGGAACCACAGTTCGCGCGTTCGCGAACGCACGCTCGAGCGAAATGAAAACACGGGTCGGAGTCGAAAGTGAGATTTCACTCGGAACAAACCGAGGTTCATAATACATATTTCGCGGTTCGCATGAGCTCCGCCGAACGCGAAATCGGCGTGCTAATTTTTTTTTTCGTTTTCGTCTGGGGCACGGCTCCGCCCCGTTTGGCTTCACTTCTCGGCGGGGAGGAGATTCTCGCCTTCCTCTGGGTTTGAGCTGCAACAAATTCCATGCAGGAAAAAATGTACATTCTGTCAACAACAAAAAAAATCAATTTGTAGCTTCTCAATCAATCAAATTTTCAATTTGTAGCTTCTCGTTATTGGTTCAGACTATCACTATGCGCTGCCTAAGACATCAAAAGAGCACATGCTTGCAAAGTTGTATCAAAATCCATCGATTCATTTCGGAGATGCAGCAGCTCATTCTAAGCCAAGTCGCATCAGACCATTACCTCGGGCGGCACTCAGCCAGGCTAGCTGTGCGGCGGGCACAGCCAGGCTAGCTGTGCGGCGGGCACAGCCAGGCTAGCTGTGCGGCGGGCACAGCCAGCCGGAGCGGAAGCACACACCGTTCCCGCGTCGCGGGAGAATGCGAACCGTGCAGCGTTTGGGTTTCGATCAATGTCACGTGACTGTTCACTGACACGATGCATTTCTCGGAGCGGAGGCAGCAATTGAGATGCTTATCGACATGACTCGTCGATTCTCGCCCGCGATGAAGCGAGCTGGCGCTTCGATTACAGCGCAATGGAAATGTGCGAGATCGTGACCGATGCGAATAGCCGCAAAATAGGGATGACCACCGCAAATCCGAGTTACAATAGAGGCCAAACGAAAAACATCCGACAACGGTCCTCTCCAAGCACATCATCCGAATGTCAAACAGGGAAAATCATTGAAGTTATCTGGTACGCTCTGAAAAATCTCCTGTATTTAAGGAACTAGCGAATGAATATTGTTATAACTTTGCATGCATGCGCTCATTTGATGTCTTAGTCAGCCCTCGAGAGTGCACAGCGATAGTTTGAATCAATTACGAATGGCTAATAATTGAATATGGGTCCTAATTTCTTGGGACAGAGTGAATACTTACGAAGCTGCTCGATAATAAAAATAAATTTCAAACATAATAAATTGCGATCAGCGCAGTGTGTCATGGATTTAGCTCGGAATTGTCACGCGTGGGTCATTCCATATGGAGTGTCCCGTGCGGTGCCGTGGGGTGCCGTGGGGTGCCGTGGGGTGCCGTGGGGTGCCGTGGGGTGCCGTGGGGTGCCGTGGGGTGCCGCGGGGTTCATGAGGGGGGAGCGATCATCTCGCGGATTCTGATTAAACCCTGAGAAATCTCTCGGTTTCCGAGATGCGGGTTCGCGAAGTTTCAACCTCATTGGGATGCCATCATGCCCTTGCAACATGACATACCCGACATGTCGCGATGAAACGAGGACCGAGACTTCGAACGTGAAACGAGGAGGTTTCGAAGACCGTTTCGAGATGCAGGCGGATTCAGCGGAATCCCTGCTGCGTCATCTCTGCCACGATGATTCTTCTGTGTCAGAAAAATGTTGTTCTCCTGCGTGAGTGTCGACGTGTCGACCTGTCGACCCGTTGCGTCGAGCGGGGATGAAAGGAGGTGGCTTGCGAACGGAACGAAAGTGCCGAAGCGAAAAGTTGAAGATGAGAGCAAGTCCTTCTTCTTTCCCGTCTGTCGGGCCATCGCCGACTCAATCGATTTCTCTCTTTTTTTTCATGAGAAAAGTTCGAGACGTCATCAGTTCATATCACGGCTGCACTTTCAAACAGCTGATACAAAAATGGCAATCGGTTTGGCAATCGCGTTTGGCAATAATAATGCAAACCTTGGAAAGGTTTCGAAATGCGAAGTCCTTCATGCCGCGAGGGCATGATGGCACCCGATTTTTTTTTTTTTTACGATCATCGAATGGCTTCCTTCCTTCTTTTCGTGGCGATTTCTCGTTAACATTGCGATTTGCTCAGGTTTTTCTTTTTAAAGCTCACTTTAACAGTTTGGCCCTCTTCGAATGCCTGAATGTCTTGTAACAGATGATTTGCATTTCCTTGCGTTAACCGCTCTGTTTTCCCCAAGAAAAAAAGTTTAAAACAAAAAAATTAATTGAAAGTTCTAATTCTAACTTTTTTAATTTAATTATAAGTTCTAATTCTAATATTTTCTAAATGTAACTTGAATTTCCTCACTCTCTCTTCTCCGCGGCGGGACGGAGCCTGGCCCAGACCAGGTCGGGCAGGTCCAAGTAGAGCCCCGTCCCCGCGAAGACGAGCCCCGCCCCCGCCCAGTGGGCGGGGGTGAACGGGTTCGAGAAGTACAGGATCGAGAAGACGAGCGAGAGGAACTTCCTCAGCGTCACCACCAGCGTCACCGTCAGCGAGGTGCACTCCGTCGTCAGCGTGAACACGCAGCTCAGGCACAGGTACCTGTCGAGGTCGAGGTCGAGGTCGAGGTCGAGGTCGAGGTCAAGGCCAATCACGAAAATCCAAAGATTTCAAATGGATAAATTTGAACGAAGGAAGAATTTGTTTGAAGTGATTCGTTCTCGCGTGAGAGCGTCGATATTCGTCTACATCGCATTAATTAAATTCTCCGGTATTAAATTATGCCTAATATTATTATCGTTATTTGTTCAGAAGTTCGAATACCACCGAAGGAAGAGAAACTTGAAGTGCGAATAGCGTTTTTGGAGCTCACGGAGCAAGAATTCCATGATAAGCCGAGAGACGGCGGAAAGCCGACCTCCCTCGGAGGAGGTCGACCTCCGCCGACGAGCACGCCAAGGATACTGAGAGAAGGCGAAGCCGGCCAGGACGACGAGCATGGACGGAACGGGCGGACCCGGGATCCCCATCGGAGCCGACCCGAGCAGGACCTTCGCGTGCGTCCAGAGGTCCCAGCCGAAGAGGAGGAATCCCGGCAGGGGCAGCATGTGCTGGGGAATCGACAGGGAGCGGACGTTCACAAACAATCACGGGCGTCGCGGTTATTCCGGTTCCAATCTCTTCCGAGTGGAATACCGGTCGTGCTCCTCGTTATGGAGTAACTACTTTGCAATATACATTTTAATTTTAATTTTCTTACAATTTTTATTTGACATTTAAAACTAAAATCAAAAAAGTAAAGTAAAACGCAAACAGCTTAAAGACGGGACTCAAGGTCTTCCGGCGCATCAACATGAGTGAAATGCTCCAGCACCATTTAATGAATTTGATGCAACTTTACCAGGGATTCTCAGAAATACAAGGGTGGTGGCGTTCCAAATCAGGCAGGTCCACGGGTTTTGTGTCAGGTTATGGTCTTTGATTTATTACAAATATATATATGTGATCTTCTCATCGGAGCGATGAAATATGGTAGCTAATTTACCTCTGTATCTGCAATAGTTTCGAAGAAAGAATTTGATAAGTGGAGGGCTCTAAAAAGGGTGACTTGCCAAATCGCTGTTTTCCCCCACTTTTAATTTGCTGTATTTCCTAAATTAATGTACTTAAATTTATGAAAATAATTTAGCACATACTTGAAAGTATGTACTGTGTGTTCATATGGAAATAAGCGCGATTATTATTTTTAAAATATGTATTTTTCATTTTCAAATCAGCGAAACTGCTGAATTTGTCTGCATTTGGCGATATTTTCTGTCAGTTAAATATGCATCCCATCTTGAATCAATAATATATTTCCAAACTGCATGCCCTCGTGTATCTTTGTGTCATTTGGTATTCATATCATTCATACCTAATTTGATATTAATTGAGAACTTTTGTCATTTTCCCAAAAATGAAAGAAAAAGAAAAATTATTTCTCAAAAACCCCAAAATTGATTTTTCATTTTTTTTCACAGTGATACAAGAAGGCAGGGGTAGTCGCATGGTATAAAAATTTACTCCTCCTTTTGCCTAATTAAATAGTCATTGATTTTTAAACATGCACATTTTCCGACGGTGTTGGGAGAAACAAAGGTTACACAACCATGATTCATTTTTAGCTGTATGTGTGCTGCATGTCAAATATCAATGTCATGTGGCGATGGATTCGATTATGTGATGATCACATCCTACACCAATGTAATGATCAAATTGCGTAGCATGTGAAAAATGATTTGTCATGGTTTCCATTTGATAATGATAATCTGCATGTTCAGCCTTGTTAACCGAGAATTCGGCAGAATTGGGAATTTGACGCTGGAGAAACACATTTAAAAAAAAAACTAAAAACTCAATTGAATTGCGAATAAGAAGATAACTACTTAATTTGAAATAAAAAACAGTGATTTAATAGAATAATAATATTACTTTAGAATAATAACTTAAAATAATAATAATTTAAAAATAAAAATACTTGAAAATTAATAATAAATGAATTTGACCGCTAGTGAGACTCACAGAGTAGAACATGGACTCCTGCGGATGCTTGCCAAACTTCTCAGCCAGTGTCTCCTGATATATTCCGAGTCGGGCGGACATCAAGAGGGAAAAGGTCAAAACCCCGATCCCTATGGAGAGAGGTGCAATAAAAATTCTTTTTGCAAAAAATCGCGTTCGGCGGAGATCGAGCGTGAGCGCTCACCCGTGAGCCAGACGGCAAAATCCCTGGACGGGTGGAGCGCGTCCTTCCCGATGTTCGCGCCGGATGCGTAGGTGCAGATGAAGATCCCCGCCGTTACCATGGCGACGGAGGCGTACTTGCTCAACGGGTAGCTTCGCTTCTTGATGAGGATGCCGAGGAACATGTTGGCCAGAAGGGAGCCCTGGTGCGAGATTTGCACATTCATCGATGTGCAAAAAGTTTGTGCTGTTTGCTAAAATTAGCTACTAATTAAAATGAACTTCTGATGAATTTTATTTAAATTTAAAAAAATTGTATCATTTCGACTGATTCCTCCAGGAAGGAACGAAATGGTAATGGAAAAGGTAAAATCTTCAAAAGTAAGTAATCGAATTTTGCGGATTTGTTGCGAATGGACTCACGGATCGGAAGATGAGGAATAAGGGCACGGATATGCGGAAGCCAAGGGCGTAGTTGTTGGCCACGTTCGCCGAGAAGAACATCAGGACCAACGCTACGTAGCACCTTTGGGGAAGGGAATTTGCGAAATTTAGGCAGTGATTGGGAGGAGGGGAGAGAAGGGATGCGGGTGTTCTCCCCCGAAAACCCCGCTTGACCACAGGCGAGGAAGGTTTTCGGGGGGAATCAGGGGGTGATGCCAAGGCGCGCTGGTCTCTCGATCATACTTAAGAAATTGAACGATTTTTAATAGCCGTCTGCGACAAATCCCGTTTCGTGTGACGTGACTGATTCCCTGATTCTGTACATTTGCATACGCACAATTCTGCACATTCGTCGGAGCACGCAAGCAGTAATTTCTGAAATGATTCACTTCTTCAATTCGCATTCCAGCCGCAAGTCGGAATCTCCCTCTGCGCCTAAAAATTCCCGAAAAGAAAGAATCCTCACAGATTAATGACGTCATGACGTAATGATTGACGACATCATGACGTAATGATCGACGACATCATGACGTAATGATCGACGACATCAGCAAATCATTTTCCACGCCTCCGCATCCCCTTCATCCGAGTAATTTGTCGCGCCATTCCGCGACCCTCCTTACCTGAGCGGCACCTCGTTGCCCCTCCGCCCGCACCTGGCGTAGAAGACGAACCCGATGAGCGAGTTCGTGAGGAAGCCAGAGAACGTCGCCAGGATCCCGCACTCGGGGTCATACCTGCGATAGCATTTCACGAGTCATTCTGTGAATCATTTTCCTTGGAAGGCAAATACCGCGTGACCTGTCTACTTGCCTTCCTCAGCGATTTTTTTTTTTTTAGACGAGAACGGCGGTTACCTCTATATTGGGAGTCGAAATGGCTTGAATATCGCATTTTTAAAATTCAACTTTGATGGTGAAATCTCATTGAAACTCGGAGGACGCATGGACCGAATTGTTTTCCTATCGAGAAGCTCTGGTTCAAGCTATTGCACGACTCCGTACGATGAACGGTTCCTAAGATGGAAATATTCAAGTTCATGGGTTTTTCCATTTTCCCCCAAGGTTCGGGGGGGGGGGGGGGGGG